TTATATAATCCGATAAATTCAAAAAACTTAATAAAAATGCAATTAACTATTGAAAAACACTTAATATTAAGATTAAGCATTTTTCAATAATTACTTAGTTTTATGAATTTTCCAATTTTCTAGATTTTACAGGGATTCTGTTGTAACTTTATGACACTAGGTAAGTTCACTGATGAATATATACTCATATTGACCATTCTTGAGAATTAAATTTTATGTTCATTCTAAGACGTAGTATCACTTTAAATACCAATCTATTTCCTTAACACTTATAATATTTTAATAATAATAAACTTGTACACTGCTTAATAACCCAGCCTAAATGCTGCTCTACAGTGCTTTAAAGCAAAAAATTTAGATTACTGTATCCCTTTGAAAGAAGGAACACAGATATTTTTTTACTACTGAATTTGAAATCTGGCACTTTCAGAATTCTAGTAAATGCAGTATACTCATAAAAGCAGAAATTGTAAACTGGTTCCACACAACTTCTTTAACAGACATAAAAGAAACTAAAATAACCTACAGTTATACCCATTTCAACAGACATATTACATTATTCAAATCTAAACAAATATCTCCTACCATTCCAATAACACAACCATGATTCAGCTGGAAGCCATTTCTTATTGGCAGGAGAGTGTCTACAGAGAGTCCACATAGCTAATAATGTTTTTTGGATACGGTGTTTTTTTAAACTTTGCATCCATTTCACAGCAACATTTGTAAAATCAGGATCCCTTCAGAGAGTTCACATACCCAAAATTGTTTATTTTGCATTTTGTCAACTTTGACAGCAAGGTTTGTGAAATCAAAACTTTGCATCCATTCCAGAAACAATATTTATTTGGCAGCAAAGTTTGTGAAATCAGAATCCCTTGCAGAGAGTCCAAATAGTTAACACTGTTTATTTTGCATTTTGTCAACTCTGCATCCCTTTCAAAGGAAGATACAACTATATTTTACAAGGATTCTTTCTACAAGTTGGTTCTTGGCATTCATCTTTCCTGGATGATCCACACCTATTTACAGCTGGGTTGACTGGAATTAGGAGTGAAGATGACTTATTCAATGTCATCAGACTTTTCACATGCTGATCAAGATTGAAACCCACAACCAAAACATGTAAAGAACCAACACTCTAACCGACTGTTAGAATTTGCATTGTCTCTTAAAGAGAGTCTATGATTATAAATTCTCTTAAAGAGAGTCTATGTTTATAAATTCTCTTAAAGAGAGTCTATGTTTATAAATCCTCTTAAAGAGAGACTATGATTATAAATTCTCTTAAAGAGAGTCTATGTTTATAAATTATCTTAAAGAGAGTCTATGTTTATAAATTCTCTTAAAGAGAGTCTATGATTATAAATTCTCTTAAAGAGAGTCTATGATTATAAATTCTCTTTAAGAGAGTCTATGATTATAAATTCTCTTAAAGAGAGTCTATGTTTATAAATTCTCTTAAAGAGAGTCTATGATTATAAATTCTCTTAAAGAGAGTCTATGTTTATAAATTCTCTTAAAGAGAGTCTATGTTTATAAATTCTCTTAAAGAGAGTCTATGTTTATAAATTATCTTAAAGAGAGTATGTTTATAAATTCTCTTAAAGAGAGTCTATGATTATAAATTATCTTAAAGAGAGTCTATGTTTACAAATTCTCTTAAAGAGAGTCTATGTTTATAAATTATCTTAAAGAGAGTCTATGTTTATAAATTCTCTTAAAGAGAGTCTATGATTATAAATTCTCTTAGAGTCTATGATTATAAATTCTCTTAAAGAGAGTCTATGTTTATAAATTCTCTTTAAGAGAGTCTATGATTATAAATTCTCTTAAAGAGAGACTATGATTATAAATTCTCTTAAAGAGAGTCTATGTTTATAAATTCTCTTAAAGAGAGTCTATGTTTATAAATTCTCTTAAAGAGAGTCTATGTTTATAAATTCTCTTAAAGAGAGTCTATGTTTATAAATTCTCTTAAACAGAGTCTATGTTTATAAATTCTCTTAAAGAGAGTCTATGTTTATAAATTCTCTTAAAGAGAGTCCATGTTTATAAATTCTCTTAAAGAGAGTCTATGTTTATAAATTCTCTTAAAGAGAGTCTATGTTTATTAATTCTCTTTAAGAGAGTCTATGTTTATAAATTCTCTTAAAGAGAGTCTATGTTTATAAATTCTCTTTAAGAGAGTCTATGATTATAAATTCTCTTAAAGAGAGTCTATGTTTATAAATTCTCTTAAAGAGAGTCTATGTTTATAAATTCTCTTAAAGAGAGTCTATGATTATAAATTCTCTTAAAGAGAGTCTATGTTTATAAATTCTCTTAAAGAGAGTCTATGTTTATAAATTCTCTTAAAGAGAGTCTATGTTTATAAATTCTCTTAAAGAGAGACTAAGTTTATAAATTCTCTTAAAGAGAGACTAAGTTTATAAATTCTCTTAAACAGAGTCTATGTTGGAGAATTCATAATTCCTGTAACTCAGTTTCATGCAGTGCCATCAGTTTAAAATGCACGCCAGTGTGGACTCTTTATGATCTCAGAACTTTGAATTGGCCAACCTGAACACCATGAAAACAAAAATAGAAACACATCAATATAACACCTTTTGGTTGCAATCAAATGGGTGTTAGAAGAAACAGAATAACGAACACCATATGTATCAATGTTTACACCTTCAAGGTGTTCAAATATCAGACTACATAACACATTATAACGCCAATATAAACTTACAAATAATTCATTTAATTCGATCAAAATACTTCACAATCTGCAACATTTAAAAACTTTTTGATTTTTTCTTACATTTTGTTATTAACAGCCTTTAAATGAAGAAATTTACATTTTACATCTGAAGATATTTCAAAGCTTATATGAATTGGACAATGGACATGGACAATATTAAGCAGTATGCTCTATGGGGCATTTTTCTCCTGGATATCAGTATTGACATAATCTGTTTCTACCTTCAAACTGTTTCAAGATCTTCAAAGTGCACGTCCTGCAGCAAACAGGGCCTCTGTTTATTACATAATCTGTTTCTACCTTCAAACTGTTTCAAGATCTTCAAAGTGCACGTCCTGCAGCAAACAGGGCCTCTGTTTATTGTCATACGCAACCAATGACCATTAACCCTTTGAACACCAAGAGTAAATCAAAAAAAACTTCATATAGTCTGAACTCCATTAAGAAAAGTAAAAGCGCTTGACGTTACATAATGTGATGTCACTCGGGTATATACTGTGTTATCATGTGACCAGTAAACTGATATCTACGATTGAAAGAGTTAAAGCCCCTTGTGACGCCGAGTGTAAATCAAATAAAACGTCATATACTCTGAACTCCATTAAGAAAAGTAAAAGCGCTTGACGTTACATAATGTGATGTCACTCGGGTATATACTGTGTTATCATGTGACCTGTAAACTGATATCTAGGATTGAAAGAGTTAAAACCCCTGTGACCTAATGACCTTAAGCAAGAAAATGTCTGTGCCATGACCTACTACGACCCATATTCCTGTATCAGATTATCAAGACTGTTAATTTAACAAACTCAAATGGAAACGGTTTATTTTTCTTACTCAACACATACTGATTTTATTTCCACTAAAATTCAGTGAATTAAATCCAGATGAGACCTAAACAGTCCTTGGATACTTGATATCCTAAAGGCTATTTTACATAGTAATTCATTTTTATGGACATTGATGGAGTGTGGCTCGTGGGTTCTATGGATACAAACAAACGATGAACTTAACTTTTAAATAGTGTCTCATTCCAGTACCGGCACTTTCTTTTTCATTTTAGATAAATCCTCAAAAAGTAACGGCACCAGTTTACAATCACTCTATTGCAGCCGCTTATCTAGAAAATGCCTGAGTGCAGGCCAAAATGAGGTGTCTCTCCAAGGCGAGGTGCAAAAGACCGGAGAATCTTGAGACCAACAGTCTGCCAGAGGTCCCCAGAAGCCAATGGATATCAGATAGCCTTAGATGTTTGAGTTTGAGCATGTTAATAGCTTAATTTTCACTACAAAACCAGACCTTTCACAGACCTGAAAGAAGGAAAATGGCAAAAAATTCCTGCCTCAATAAGCCACTTGCTCTATACCTTCTAACTGCAACACTGTAAATACATTGTTAACCACAAAATACATTTCACAGTGTACACCCCTTTGAACAAAAGTGCCAGTTCTTTCAATATGCCTATGGTATAGTTGTATAAATACACTACTATATCTCATCAATATGAACAATGATATGGTAACTATGCCTTTTGGTGCCAGAATTTTACAGCCGATATTTCAATTAAGACAGAATTCTCTCCCAAACCATGTGAAAACTATTTACCGCTGGGCCAATTATACTGTTCAAAAGCATGTACAAAATATCTGTAAGCTATTAAATATTGTAAAATTTGGCAATTACCATTTATTGTTTTCAAAGACAAATTACAATCGCGTTTCAACTTTTTAAACAGAATTATTTAAAACTAATGTTTTACCAGCATGGCTGCATGCACGACTGAGATGTCAACATGGAAAAATACTAGGATCCTGTGCTAACAAAATTGAAATGCCAACAAGGCCAAAAGCGTGCGAACTTGGCTAAGATGCCAGCAGGAACAAAATGCCTATATGCCAAAAGGACTAAGTTGCCTACTGGTTTAATATGTTTAGTTTCAATTAAGCTAAAAGGAGGATAAATGCCTACATGCCAAGAGTGCCTACAGGGAAAAGGGCTAACGCGCAAACAGGTGTGATTTGCAGTGTCAAGAGCAAGGTCCGGGTTGACAAAAATATGCTAATTTGATTGGTTAATATCACTTGAGTTAAGTTCCTTTTTAATGATTAGCCAATCAGATTGACTGAAACACTTAAATTATCTCTCATATATTAAGTGCCAGCAAAAAGGTTCAATGCTGAAAGATATAAAGAAATACTTACTATAAATAGCGCTAAAAATTGAGAGTCTGTCAGTGTGCCAGACTGCTAGGTGCCACTGCTGCCGTCCTCATAGAATGAGACATGATGGGATAGGATATGAGTGGATTGCTCTGATGGGCTGCAAAACTTTGCGGAATGCTACGTGTAATAGTGCAACCCGATTGGAGGTTTTGCATCGATATGTTATTTTGTCCCATAGTAACAGGCACCATTGTCTGCGTCATGGAAACGGGAACCATGGATGCATTTATGGTTGGCGTGACATTCATTCCCGCTGCATTCACTGAAGCAATGCGCTGCGCTGTCTGCAAAGCATGCTGGGTTGCTAGATCGCTGTTCATGGAAATTTGTTGAGTCAATGTAGAATTCATATTGAATGAATTGCCAGTCGCTGGCCCACCAGGTGTCACTGCTGGAGTCAATTGAGTATGCGCTAAATCACCGCCAGTTAAAGTCTGCACTGCATTAGCTTTTGACACACGATAGCGTGCATTTTGCTCCAAAAGAACTTCATTTGTGGCTGTCAAATCTGCAATAGTTTTTTTAAGTTCTTCGACTTTTCGTCGTAACATTAGATTTTCCTCCTCAACGATATGATAGGACATTGGACGATATCGGTCTTCAAATCCTGGATAACTCACTAATTCCACACGACGACGCTTAGCAACACTATATGTATCATAGCGATCGAATCCCTCATATCTTTCTTCTTCATAACGATCATCAAATCTATTTTCTACCCCGCGCTCAGCGAGTCCGTTCTGTTGATAGTCGTTTTTTACGTGCCGGTATTTACATTTCATTCCTCGCACGCACTGTCCTTTCTGGAAATCTTTACAAATAGGAATATCAAACTTAGATCCCTCACCACCATTTCCCGTCAGAACTATTTGATGCAGACGTGGTGGAAGCTGACGAGTGGAGTGATAAGTCTCCTCTTCTTCACGAGTACAGTGTAAGAATTTACAATTAACACGATGACATCCTGTGTTTTGATAGTCGTGGCAGAAGACTATTTTTTGATTGGCTGACTCACGTTGTTCACCATTGCTAGGATGTCGATATTTACATTTACGTCCCCTTTTACAAACATTGCGTAAAAAATCACGGCAGACATCATAATCCTTGCCGTTTGATTTGTCATAATAGTTCTCTTCACTCCCTGAATCACTGTTGTCGGACATTTTAAAGTTTGTCATGAAGCAAATTCACGGAAAATATTTCTCCTCAAAAAATGTTCACAGGCGGTCACAAATCTGAAAAAGTACTATTTTTATTCCGCATTGGCGCTTCCCTCTCTAACAGTGAGTTGGTTATAGCAGAATAAATACGCCAGCTTCGCTGTTATCAGGACTATTTTCTTAGCTAGCCTCTTTCTGAAAAGACAGAAATAAACAGTTTATAAGAAAAAAGAAAAAAAATTGCGAACACGGCAGAATTGGTGCAAATATGGGAAGCATGCATTGCAAATATGTTAGTAAAATATTGCAGGGATGTTTTTGTTTTCAAACAACCAGAAGTGATGATTTTCAGCAGATTTAGATATTTTTCATTGTTACAGCCCTGCAAATTAAAAAACTTCATTACTGTTAAACCTAAAATCTTGATTCAGTCCTCTGAAAGCTTGCTTTAACAGCTTACAGAGCTCAATTTCAGCCATCTGTATTACTTGTCAAAATCAAAATCTGATACCTAGTTCTTCTGCAATTGAGTTATCAAGAAACAGCAGGCCCTTGTATTTTTATAAGTTAAGTTAACAAAAATAATGCACAAGACCTTACATCTCTAACAATACTGTGTTACATAATGTTGTGTATGACTACACAATGCAACACGATAACTCGATAGAACTGACACGCCATGATTACAAAAGATTTGGGGTGTTATTTCAACTTTGCTAACGTAATGCAGTTCATATATCTGAATATTATATTGTCCCATTGAAATATATAATAGGCTTAGTCGTGTATAACCAAATTATAAACTGTATTATATTGTAATGTATTCTTCTAATCTCCAGTAGTCCGAAACTACTAACAAAATGTGAAATGATTTTCATAGACAGTGCCCCTAGTGGGGATATAGAGGGGGGCCTCTGATTTTCATATGTTTTTGTCCCAAAAATGCACCAAATCAATTCAACTTTTTGAAAATTTTGGGAGAACCTCTCAGACGCTCCAAATGAGGTTTGCAACAAGACACCTCCACAGAGTTGCCATACTTGGAATCCCCCATTGAGTCAGTCTGCCCACTGTTTGTACCCCCAGTCTCGGGAGGCTGATGCCGCCAATGTTCATTCATATCTGAGCATCATATCTACACAGACATTTCAATATAAAATGTAGGACATCTGGAGCCAGAAAAACGGATGTATGCTTCAACTGATCTACCACCAAATCACAAACTTAATTGATTGATTTTAATCACTTAAAATTCATTTTCATCAACCAATCAGAACAACACATTTTCTAAACAAAACATATGATTGGTCAATGGCGTAAAATAGATTTTTACTAGAACCAATCAGATCATTGTATTTTCTAAACTATTTTGATGGTCCCTTCATCTGATTGGTCGATCACTGAAATATTTATAAATGTAGTTTTCTTAACCAATCAGATTGAAGTATTTGTTCAAAACTGGAATTTATTAATTCTACGACAGTCAGCAAGTTTCGGACTAAGCCTACAAATACTAGAGTTTATGTTACCCTTGGATCAACAACACTGTACAAAACATGCTATTGTTTGAACATTTCAATGCAAACTATAAAACTGTATTAAAATGATAATTTTTAAAACATGCATAGACTTCTTGTCTATCTTCTGTCATAGCTAACATAATTTAAAAAAAAAATAATAAGCCTTAAAGGGACAGATTCGCCATTTTCAGGGGTTGATTTAGGTCTTTCAGAATATATGTAGTCTTCAGAAGTTCCAGAAATGTACAAAAATTGCATTATTCCTAAAAGAAATCTATCAAACTAAGAATTGAACTTCAAAAAAAAAAAGGGGGTTGTCTTTTGAATTTTCAAACCAGATATTCTGGCCACACATGGAATTGAGGTTTCAAATTTGACGTTGAGCTGTGAACACTAATAACTGATTAGCTTAGCTAAAAACATCCTGTTACTGAAACTAAAATTTGATGGGTCAAAAACTGAGTGAAACCATCCTTTTAAATGCAGTAACCAACATTTTTTCCAAAAAAAACCAAATAATCCGGTTTTCATTCAAGATGTGAGTTTATTTACGAGGAGAAAAGTGCAGGTTTGCAAGTCAGTTTGACATGTAGCCCTTAAGATATATTAAAGGAATTGTAAAGAGGTTTTCTAAATTTTTTATGTATATCAGGGACACTGATAGCATCAATTTGCACCATTCCAATTTTCAATCAGATGTCTATGGTTCCTGCAATTCCACTATAATTAAGTATATTATGAATACTTCTTTATGATCCCTTTAATATTCCAGACGTCCATCGGTCACTAAATTCCGATCAGACAAAGATATATATCTTGACCAATAAAATTCTACTAAACAATTTATTTGGCACAAGTGTTTCTTTACAAATTGCCACTTTCAAGAATGATCCTACCTTCTATAAGTAACGTTATCAGTTATTGAACAAATTAGCATCAAATTGTACGTAGGTAGTGTGGTCTGCTTGCTCAAGAGATCGATCTCATAACTGACTTGTTTTCCTTGAAAGTTTCGCGAAGCTTGCACAGAAATTTACAAATTATACCGCAATGTCCTACCTTAATGATCATAATTATATCTTTTGATTTGCATGTAGCAGACGTCAATCATGATTGTATGATTGTATCTTTTCATTTATACAGCAACAGTCTGTTACTCTCAATAATCACTGAAATGACTGGCTTGATTTATTTTTAATTATGGTCAGATCTGCCATATTGAAGTTTTACATTCTACTGTTCTGTATCTGTACCTTGTTGGACTAATGGAATGAAGTTTTATATCCTACTGTTCTGTAGTCGATGGACTAATGAAATGAAGTTTTATGTCCTTCTGTTCTGTACCTTATTTGACTAATGAAAGAGTTTTATATCCTACTGTTCTGTACCTTATTTGACTAATGAAAGAGTTTTATATCCTACTGTTCTGTACCTTATTTGACTAATAAAATGGAGTTTTATATCCTACTGTTCTGTATCTTATTTGACTAATAAAATAGAGTTTTATATCCTACTGTTCTGTATCTTATTAGACTAATAAAATGGAATGGTGTTTTATATCCTACTGTTCTGTACCCTATTTGACTAATAAAATGGAGTTTTATGTCCTACTGTTCTGTACCCTATTTGACTAATAAAATGGAGTTTTATATCCTACTGTTCTGTACCCTATTTGACTAATAAAATGGAGTTTTATATCCTACTGTTCTGTACCCTATTTGACTAATAAAATGGAGTTTTATATCCTACTGTTCTGTACCCTATTTGACTAATAAAATGTAATGGAGTTTTATATCCTACTGTTCTGTACTATATTTGACTTATGAAATGTAACAGAGTTTTATATCCTACTGTTCTGTACCCTATTTGACTAATAAAATGGAGTTTTATATCCTACTGTTCTGTACCCTATTTGACTAATAAAATGGAGTTTTATGTCCTACTGTTCTGTACAGTACCTTATTTTCTATGAACTGGTTAATCAAACATTAATGATGATTGCATCTCTTTAAAATCGTGACAAAACAAGACAGCAGAAAAACTACACTCAATCAGAAAAAAAAGAAAATTTCCAAATACTTATACAAGGGAGTTAACCTGCACAAAGTTGACCCTTTTTACCTCACATCATTTAGTTGACAACTCAATAAAAACATAACTCTTCAACAATTTCTTCAAAGGTACAGGACAAAAGAACTTCAATTTAAATATAAATTGGCTGGCTGCATATATCGCCTACATACCACATGTCATGTTTCTAAATGTCAACAGATTATTACAGTGGCAATACCAAATACATCTGTTTTACCCATTAAAGGGGCAATACCCTATCAAATTTGATAAAGTATAGATAGTGCATTCTAATAATGATTATATATTATGGTGATATGGTGTAACAGATTAAAGTGACAGTACCACAGAGAAACCAAAAAATTATAGCTATAAAAATAAATTACATATTACGTTTGGTATTGGTATGATGCCTTTAAACTTTCAAGAAAGGTCAAATCTATTCTCATCCAACATTCCTCACTCCCGTTATTTTTCTTAAAAGAGTTTTCACCATTTTGATTTTTTCATAAATCAAACTATTCCTTTAATTTCATAAATGAAACATTATTATTAAAAGTCCTACTATACCTTTAAATTCCCCTTAAAATTAGTTTTATAATGAAAAACTATTTACAGTCTAAAATGTATTGTAAGTCAGCAGGAGTAAATGATGTCTATTCTTCAGGTGAATCAGGTTGGAATGTCAATTAGGGTAGTTAAGGTATAGAAATGGCGTGGTTAAATGATGGGTGACGAGGGCTAGTCAAACTATCATTTACTGTTTTCAATAGACACTAACAATAGAATTAAATGGAATTTTACATCCTACTGTTCTGTACCTTATTGGGCTGACAAAATGAAATGGAATATTAGATTCTACTCTTCTGTACCTTATTGGGCTGACAAAATGAAATGGAATTTTACATTCTACTCTTCTGTACCTTATTGGGCTGACAAAATGAAATGGAATATTACATCCTACTCTTCTGTACCTTATTGCGCTGATAAAATGAAATGGAATATTACATTCTACTCTTCTGTAACTTACGGGGCTAACGAAAGTAGGTTTAATATCCTACTCTTCTGTACCTTATTGGGCTGATAAAACAAAATGGAATATTACATTCTACTCTTCTGTACCTTATTGGGCTAACGAAAGTAGGTTTAATATCCTACTACTCTGTATCTTATTGGCTGATGAAATGAAATGGAATTTTACATTCTATTGTTCTGTAACTTACTGGGCAAACAAAATGAAATGGAATTTTACCTCCTATTGTTCTGTAACTTATTGGGCTAACGAAAGTAGGTTTAATATCCTACTATTCTGTATCTTATTGGCTGATGAAATGAAATGGAATTTTACATTCTATTGTTCTGTAACTTACTGGGCAAACAAAATGAAATGGAATTTTACCTTCTATTGTTCTGTAACTTATTGGGCTG